TATAACGGCTTAAGTCGGTAACAGGGACATTGCTGAACTAGCAAACGGATTACTACTGGTATGATGACATAACTCACTAAGGTTACTTTTATGGCTTTGTCAGTTTATATTGTTTTCGAATAGATTGATTTGCCCCAATTAAGGGATATATTTCTGACGAAATTTGAAGACTGTGTTTTCAAACCTGGAGAATCATCCTGAAAGTGCATGCGCACGCTGGAGGCCCACAGATGAGACGAACGTCTCGCAATTTTGTAAGGAATCGGCAGAATACTAGGGAGGTAGAAGTGTGAGCTTTTTGACTGTCTGATGTCTATTTATGAATATTTCACAATTATTCCGCCGTGGTTTATTGATTTTGCTTGGTTTCAGTTCGAGTCCATAATTTCTAAACAGACTGGGCTACTTTTGATTGAACACCTACTCTCTAGGATTTATGGACCACCTACAGTCAACACTGCTGTAGTCACTTCGCGACAGATAATATCGTACTCGGCGCTACTAACTACAAAATTTCCATGTGGCTCTTCTCCAACTTTCATTCACTTGCGATCAATTGTAAAAATTTGCCTGATGATTGTTATTTCATAGAGATTAAGTGGAATTGCAGTTTCTGCCGACAATATCATGTTCTCCTTCGATGTCGTCATCCCCTTTACGTCCGTTCCGCTGGATTTGCAGAACGATGCACAGAGGAGCTCCTGCAACATTCTGACACGGATGTTTCCAATACTGCCTTACTCAAACTCATAGACCCGTGCATGGAAACTAATTTTTCGCTTCTAATTGTCTCTTCTCTCGCGCGTAAGTGATGCCTGATGGACTGGTATGACGCTGGTAGGTGGATACTTCGGTTGATCTAGTTGGTGTCTGATTGTCAAGTTGCAATTACTTCTCTCGCCGGTTAGCTTTCGGCTCGACCGAGCATTTGGCCACCGTTAAAGTCGAACCTGTGATTATTTTTTTGATTGTGCATGCCGCTGTGCGATCCCGCCTCTTTTCGCTTTACGGCCAAATCAAGCCCGTGCATGCGCGTTCTTTGTTGTTTGTCAGTCATGCCAGAGTATTTGGCCAGACAGGCTAGATATTTGGCCCGCTAAATGACGCTGAATAGTATTTCTGTAAAACCACCAGCAGGAACTGATTTCGATCTCAAGTTTGTCAGATGCTGCAGCCGCATTCTACAAAGAACCCTCTATTTAAGGTAAATATACACTGACTAAACCAGCCAAGTTACCTTCATGAGAAATGTCACGCTCCCAGTATTCTAATCATCAGGTAGGTTATTATGGTGATTGAAACCCGTTTTGCTAATTCATCACTGCCCGTGTTACCGACTTTAGCTGTTATGAGTACATCAGACGTTTTATACCTTACCTAAATCCCTATGGAAAAATGGTAATTGAGGACTACGTAGAATTTGCAGGACCAAACAGACGTCCACCTCTGCAATATGTCCGATATGCCAATAACGGGAATTCGCCACTTTATGTGTATGAAGTGGCATGATTCGACTTGTCCGTTTCTGAGGAACACTTCCTCTTAAATTTGTAAAATTGCTGATCGAATCTTATTTGTGCAGATAATGAACTAGGAAAGCATGTGTTACCTCGTCTCAGTAGTGAACGTGCTCATCGCTAAACACCAGAGTAGCCTCAATATGTGACTCTCGACACTACCAGCTCTGTATGCGAGATCAGAGAGACGGATCTTCTAGCAAACGAAACATCTAGATGAACTTTTACAAAGGCGAAGTCACTTTGATTCTTGAGCAGTGTTTGTACTCTTGTTTCATAACATTAGCCTAAATCTCTGTAACTGGTGTCTCGTAGAATTCGATCAGGATTCTGTTGTCTGAAGTCTCGAAGCATTCGCTTAGATTTATTTTGCCTAAAGATTTCACGACATCTGGACGACTAAGACCTGATTTGATTGCGTCTGTCTCCTGCTACGATTCTTTGCAGAATGTTGTATCCTTAATTCTGGCGCATAAATACATGTGAAATGTATATAAGTGTGCGATCCATCGATTTCAATTCTGCCCAATATCATTATTATTGGCGAATTGAACTCTCCGAATATGAATTGCAATGTGACTCCTGCTACAGGCTCAGAATTTGACTTCGATCTCCGCCTCCTACAAGAAATGTAACCATTGCATTTCACACAACATGTCACATCTCCAACCAGACTACGTGAAAGGCGCCTCAGTAACTGCTTAGAACTTATATTGACAAAAGCCTCTGAAAGTCTGGATGTCGTAAACTGTCTACCCCCTCTTAGAAAAAATGACTACGTAGTCCTACAGTGGGAGTACTCTCTCTTCCCTGTATCTGATTAAGGCATCGTGATCAGACGCAACATATGATTCCTTTCAAATGCATCTCAACGTGGGTCCCAAAGACTGGAAAGCAACATTCAAGGAGTGTGTTCTCAAGGACTAGCTAGAACATAAGGCCTATTACATGGACATATCACCAGATACTGTCCTATACCGAAAACGCAAATCGCCAACAGGCCCCGATGGCTAAAGAGCACACAAAAGGGTGAGGTAAACCGTATGCAAAAGCTGCGGAAAGTTTATCTCAGTTATAAGACAATCGAATCAAGGAATAGTTACAAGGCTCAGCGGAATAGGGAAAGGTGCCTTATTTGCAAAACCCGCCAAGACTTGAAGAGTAACCATTCAAACTGTGCAGGAGAAATCCCAAGTCGTTTTTAACTTCAAAAGACAAAGTACTCGCAACAGGGATTCCATCTCTATGTTAATAACGGATGATGGCGTTGATCACTACATTGAGGACGATGCCGCAAAAGTGACTCAGTGGTTTTGACTTAATCTATTGTACAACCGTAACTACTGAAGCTAAAAGAAGCGATATCGCCAGATCTTGATGAAATACCTGAAACGTTGTTGAAGGAAATAGCCGCAGAATGGACAGGACCTCTATGTCTCCTGTAAACCTCTCGAGATGCAGACTGACTGCCTCCTGAGTGGAAGACTGCGTTGATTTCACAGATAAATAAAAGTGGCAGTCGCGCTTCCGCAAACAACAACCGACCGTTAAGCGTCACCTCCCTTTGTTGCACAGATATGGAGCAAATTATCAAACGCAAGCTGATGGGGTTTTTAGAGGGATATCACCTCTCTGATGCGCAGCATGGAGTCCACAGAGGAAGGTCCTGCTTGACCAATTTACTCTTCTGTCTCGAGCGGTGGACCCACGCGACTGATGAAGGAAACGTGTTGCATGTAGTCTATATAGACTCCAAATAGTTCTTCAACTGTGTGTCACATCAACGTCTCCTAAATAAGCTCAGCCGCATAGGGGTAAGAGGCAAGCTTTTGATGTGAATCGAAAACTTCTTGATTTGTCGATCTCAGGTCGTCCGTCTTCGGGACCTGCGATTGGCGGAGGTGACGGTTGCGAACGGAGTAACTCAGGGCTCCGTTCTTGGCCTTATCTTCTTACTCGTATATATTGGTGACTGAGTCTGTGGGTTGAACTGCAACATTGCCATGTTTAATGACGACAAAAAGATAATCCGAAACGAGGACGATTTAATGCTGCCAAATGCAACATTCAGAGAATTGGCAGAACCAGCTCTGCGCACAAGAGGCCGTACCATCTTAATCACACATCGCTGCCAGTGCAGAGGTTCAGAAGGATCCGGCCGCGTGTATAACATCGTCACCGAAGCCAGTATCCCATTGCCTGGAAGAATTATTTGGAACCAAATGTACTTGTAGGTTGAGGATTTTAAATAAGAAAAATTATCGGCAGAAGCCAAACAGGTAGCCGCAGTGAGAAATCCTCTCTAGGTGGTTCGGGTACAACGGGATGGCGGTTTTGAGGGGAAGAACGGGCGGGGTAAACGGCAAAGGGCACTGGATTGGCAGTTGGATGCCGAAAATGTTGGAAATCGCAGAAAAATAATTGTTTGTTTTAATGAAGTCAAAAATAGGGGAGGATGGCGCGCAAATAGGGAAAACCGTAGGGAAAAACGTAAGACTTCCACTTGGGGCAGCTGATACCAGAGGCTTCAGGCTCTTAGATCACTGCGGTATTTGCATACACCCCTACCGCTCTCTCACCGCTTAGCCCACGCCTTCCTCCCTCCCCCCTCCCAAAGGCTTGTCACCTACGCCGTCCCAACATTAATCCCGGCAGTCCCTATCCCCTTTAGGCAAGCTTACCGCATTCGACAATTCCCTCACCGGCTGTTACCACTTCCGCCTGTTTCACAGTCTACTGTTTCCCCTCCTACCGGCTTTGTTACTTGACCTGATATGCCCTTCACAGCGGGTGGTTCACATCGCCAGTTACCAGCTACACCGATTCCTACTTACCGTCTACCGTGGCCGACTGCTGCCTAAGACAGTCTCTTCGCACCTCCCTGTTCCCGCTCTAAAGGCCTTCCGTAATCACTTACTTGCTGTCCCATAAGGGTTTATCGACGAGGCTTAGTGGATGTCATTGCATTATTCTACGTCGGTAAACATGTTCACGTACCCAGCCTCCAGGCTGGTCGATCAGCAGCAATCCATACCGTGCGATGATGGCTCCGTTATCACTGCTAGAGATACCCGCCCATCCCACAGACAACGTCCGTTCAACTCTTCCATTAGTGATCCATAGGCACCTATCAGCTAACGCAGACCTCTGGTTGAACTTTACTCAACTGCGTATCACACCTACTCTCATTCCGGAGGCTTAGCGGCACTGTAAGAAGGGATAATGTCATAACAAAGCCCATCATTTACTCCGAATTAGGAAAAGGAACAATACACATAAGACAAACTGCGTAGTACGGAAAATCGTCCCCGACTGCCTTGGGCAGCCGGCTTGACACATCCGAAACATTCTACAGTTAGCTGTAATACAAAAGAGTATGCGTCGATGATTGACTCTCCTAATTAGACAGCTCCCTGTTTGACCAGCCGGTAACAGCCCAAGCACTGTAGGTCGGCATGGAGAGTAAGTGGACGAAGTACACAGTCATACCTTCCAGTCTTCCGTCTGCGCCTTCGTTGGTTGGCTTCTCCAATCGTCGATGGTTGATCTCTCCTCAATCGACAGCTCCCTCGTTGACCGGCCGGTAACGGCCACAGGCACTGTAGGTAGGCATGGAGAGTAAGTGGACGAAGTACAGAGTCATACCTTCCAGTCTTCCCTCTGCGCGTTCGTTGGTTAGCTTATCCAATTGGCGTTTGTAGGCTCTCTTCAATCGCCAGCTTTCCCATCGCCAGTAGGTAACGGCTGCATTCCCAGTAGGTAGGCTTGACGCCGTATTTTACGCCTACTAACAGGAGTAAACATACCTGTGAGTAAAAGGAGACACAAGGGAACACAAAGACAAAGACAGTTAGGGTAGGCAATGTCAGCGTAGAGCGAGACACGGCGTGTGCAGTGCAGCGTGAGTGAGCAAACAGTGGCACCGGCAAGAGGCAGAGGACTATCGGGCACCGAAGCTAATCGATAATCAAGTGCAACTATGCGCGGCCGCTTGCGCCCTTCGCGACGCCGGCGCAGCCGACCCGGGAACCAATCCAAACCGCGAGCAGGCTAAAGACCCACTACCCCCTCCCCCACCTCCCCCCCCAAGTACACCGGCTCGCGGCGAGCTCGCTTGCTATTAGGGTTCCCCTTTAATCTGCTCCAGTAGGCCTCTATGGCGTTCGTATGCCGTCCTGTTGTGGGATTCACGAAGCCCCTACGGTGGTTGACAGTGCAGTGCGTATAACCTTCGGACGGTAGGCGGGTGTAACCCTTCCACTCATCGGTTACGATAACACTACCAGCAACCACCCACTTCCTTACGACGGGCCTCAGGGCCTTCCAGCTGCGGTTGTTAATCTGCTCAAATAGGGCTTTCCGCCTGCGTGTATCGTACATACTTACGACCCACAACTGCCGCCGCGGTCGTTCCCTGTTATGCTTGCGGCGACTTATGAGCGTCTCGTCTACCTGTACTTCCACGCCTGGCCCACCAATTTGGGTTACGGCAGATAAATTTAAACTTAAAAGGGTTACGTAGGCCTATAAACTGCTCTCACCATGGATACTTAAAATCCCGTAAAACAGCGACCGCCAAGTTCGGGAGTTTGCCGACTTGCTGTAGGTTGGTGCGGTGGTGTTGGAGTACGTCCAGGTATCCTAAACATTGTTTGCGTTATGCGTATTAAACGGTGCATGCGGTGGAGATCACCGACATAACAAATAGGGAGGGGTTGATGAGGGGGTCAGTAAGGGGCTGGGAAGTAACGCAATTGTCATAAGCGGTTTATTCAAATACTCTTACCCAACCGCAGTACACCGCTGTCCGCCCGCGTCCCCTTTGTGCATCGTATGCTTCGTGTCCATCTAACGCACACCACTTTCAAGTGCGGCGCCAATGATCCCATTGGTTAGCCGCTTGGCGGTTCAGGATTACTCGCCCCGGCCGCCAATCACATCACGTCCCCGGCCAACCCTCCTTCGATTGGTCATTGCCTACGGTTTTCCCTATTTGCGCGCCATCCTCCCCTATTTTTGACTTCATTAAAACAAACAATTATTTTTCTGCGATTTCCAACATTTTCGGCATCCAACTGCCAATCCAGTGCCCTTTGCCGTTTACCCCGCCCGTTCTTCCCCTCAAAACCGCCATCCCGTTGTACCCGAACCACCTAGAGAGGATTTCTCACTGCGGCTACCTGTTTGGCTTCTGCCTCCAGCGCTATTATACTGTTTGTCGTCTGCCGACAAGATTTGCAATTTGAGTGTGTTAAGTCTGCAATCTATGTAGACCGCAAACCTAGGCTACATCTGTCCACACTCCTAGGTCTGACTACGCGGTCAGCGACAACGTCCACTGTTAATGGGCGGTTCGGCGTCATTGCTGACAATGTCCTGTCAATGGTAGGGGGGCGCTCAACGATCGTTCTTACGGAACTCACTCGTTCCGTTTTGCCTTACGGGCTCTGCCTCGAGCACAACCAGCAGCCACACAGCGGCACATGATATATAGACAGAATAGCATTACCGACAAAGACAAGGGAACAGTCTCCTTTGTCTTTATCGGTAAGGTCCTGTCAGCTGGTAACCTGTCAGTTGACTGTATTGAAAGTCATGGATTTTTCACTCCCTGATAGAATAAATGTCAGTATAATGAAGGGCAAAGCAGTCTGAAGGAGAGTGTTTCCGGGACTTAGAATATGTAAATATTGTAAAAGTATCCGTAAAGATACTTCGGGTAGATTTCAAAATCATCATAATTTTTCCATTTTCTTTGTTTGATGACATGTTTGCCTTTAATGATTTCACATTCAGTAGGTACATTTAAGCCTTGAGAATTGGCAGTTAATGCAACCGAACACGGTAGACCACAAATAGCATCGGAGTTATAAATTAGGTTAGTACTATTTTATGGGTATGATTGTTCTACGGCAAATGTAGTCGCGGCAGAATGTAAATTTTTAGATTTTAAGCAAACATTGTCATCACTCGTGCGATGAATCCGTCAGAAATATGTGGGACAAAGGCGTAACTTGATTCAGCAGATAGTGCACTTGTCTAATTTTGCAGGAATATCAACGTCTATAGTCGCTCTTTCGTAGTTGTTTCCATAAGCAGCGGTCAGTTGCTTTTGTCTGGCACTAGGAAAATGTCACAGCGGCGATTCAGACTGGCAAAACGATCAGCAAACTATTCAATTGTGAGTTTCTAGAAATGGTGTTTCTCTTCTTATCTCGCACAGCAAAAGATGGCGAGACTGTTGCCTATCTCCGATGCCAAACGGAACACATTCTCCAACTCCTCAAGAGGGACCCTGATACCTTCCCCAGAAGGCGCATGTGGTGCAATCTCGAGACCGTTGTTAGGCTCACAAACAGGAATCTACGGTCGAACCGCCATCTCGCATAACAAAAGATGACGAGACTTCTCCCTGTCTCAGACGCCAAAACCCAAGGCGTTCTCCAACTGCTTAGGAGGAAACTTGATACCTTTCCCAAAAGGTTCACGTGGTGCGACCGCGAACCCGTGGTTAGGCTCCCAAACAGGAATTAGTTCCATTTTGATTTGCTGTGAAGATCTCCGAGCAGTATTAGAGACTGTCAACACGACTTCCTAATGATTAAAATCGGAAGTCTAGCGTCGGTGTTCTTCTACAGAAGAAAGGAGAGCATTGCGTATTGTAAATTACTCGTGGCTGTACGCTTACTAGGATTTTTTTCTGTAATTCAATTGCTGTCTTATCCAGATGTTTTCTATTGTTGTTGTTGTTTCCTATATGTTGATCCCTCGTTTTCTCCTAACAGTCGTAAGAGGGGTTTGTGATCCATGTGAATCTCGAAAAGTCGGCTAAAAATATATAGGTGGAAACGATGTAGACCAAAAATCATTGCTAAGGTTCCTTTATCTAACTGCAAATATTTAGTTTCCGATTCTGATGCAAAGGCAATCGACATCTCCGCACTAGAAGGCATTCAGTGCATGAGAACCGCACCTACGCCGTAGGGGGACGCATCACATTACATTATGATAGTCTTTTCGTGGTCATAATGAACTAGGACAGATGAGGAGGTAAGAGCCGCATTTGCCTGTTCAAAAGCAATTTGGTCGACCACCGACCACTTCCAACAACAATTCTTTCCAAGTAGTTACTAAAGGGATTGTAGAATTGTAGCCGATTGATTCATAAAACGACCAATATGAAACATCAACGCCGGAAATGAACGCATTTTACTAGTATTTTTGATGCGCGGCGCCTATTGAGGGCTTTGAGTTTATGTTCGAGTGGATGGAAGCCAGTTTTATCCACTCTGAAGCCCAGGTATTCCACCAAGTCGGCAAGGAAAGTACACTCATCTTTCATGAGTATAAAACTTGCGTCTTCCTAACATCCTAACGTGATCTTTAGAGTCCCTAAATGAATATGCCCAGATGTCCGGTGACTAAGATGTCGCCAAGATATGCACAAACGTGAGGTATATCCTTCACGAGGTAATTAACCAAGAATTGAAATAAATCGAGAGCGGAACTTGCTCCAAATGGCAGTCTTTTATATCGTAACAACCCCGATGTGTATTGATGGTTGTGGCGTCTCGGGATACTGTATATAGGACGACTTAGTTGCAAGCATGCTTCAAATTAAAATTTTAAATTGATGACCACCTGAGAGGGAGGCGTATAGAGCTCCGATGCGCTGGAGAGGATAAGGGTTCAGCTTAGTTGCTGATTTGATTGTCAGCTGGTAGTCGCCACAGATACACACAGGACCATCGAATTTAAGAACAGCAACCATTGAGGCTGCACACTCCCACTGCACAGGCTAAATAATATCAGCTTTCTGTAGGCAATCCACCTCTTCTTAGACCTTCAATACAACTACATAGGGAACCCTACGAGCTTTGAGGAATCGGGCCGGAAATCTGACTGAAACTGGAACTTATCACGTGGACCGCAGTAGTGGGTAGCAGAGTCCTCACGAAATAGTTACTTATGAGTTACCAAAATGGAATCTAAAGCCAGATTTACACAAATGCGATGTACATAGGACAGCACAGAAGGTACACATTTAATTCAATTCCAACCAAGGTGATTTGGTTTCTGGCTTCCTCTCATCACATGAACCGGAGGGTAATTAAGTTCCCTCTCATGCTATACCTCGTTTGGAAAAACGTCTCGAACATCTACGTTCGGTTCAGTGTAACTACGGAATGTTGAGCAGGCCGGAAGGAGTGAGGGTTATTTCTGAAGAGAGACCTCATTGATGAGAGTTAAATCTGAGCCAGTGTCGATTTCAAACTTAACGAGATAGCGATCAACCGGAAGCGTGATAGTGCAGGGCGATTGGAGTGTCGCGTTAACCGTATAAATTCGGAGTATCGTCTCGCCCCTCCAAGCTGGATTAGGGTTGGTTGCATGCGTGTTAGTATTCGCTCGTCTTTTGGAGAAAAACACTCGTTCGATGTGGCCGACTTTCATGCAAATCTTGCATAACGTCCTCTGGTGTCTACAGTCTGACCACCGGATATGATGCTAACCACAACGGTAGCGGGATGGTAGTTGTTTTGAGGGAGCTGAGGGTCGCTGTCTAGGTGAATACACAGCAGTGCTGACTAGGGAGACAGCCATTTCCGATTTCAAGGATGTTATCACTCCATCGTTTGACTGATTCAGCTGTTGAAGGTTTTGCCGCACGCGCTCCTGATGACTGGCTATATCACAGGCTTTCTCCCATGACAAATCCTTCTTCTCTGATAAGAGATTTTCCTGAGCTTTTTCATCACGCAACCCAACGATCAACTGCTGTAAGAGCATTGCGTTCTCGAAGTTGTCCGCCTTAATCTATTTATAACTGCATTCCTGGATGGCCGCAGTCAGATTAGTAGAAGAAGCACTTTCACATTGACTGGATTCTTGACGCATTTGACAAAACCGGTAGCGATTTTGGAAGACGTTGTCTTTTCCTCCATATGCTGACTTCAGTTTTGTGAAGGCTGATTGGAGATCTGTAGTCTTTTGTATATTGAGGTCATGGTAATACCCTTGTGTCAACTCTCCGAGATTCGTCCATAGGAGTTTCAACTTAGATGGAACATCAAGTACAATCGTGGGTGACACAATTTGGAGTAGTTTAATATAATAATCACATGCCTTCCACCATTGCAACCACGAGTCATTTGAGGGTTTCTGGGTGTTCTTTGGCCAGAGAGGTAAGGCTGTAGGCAGCAATGAAGACATGTTTGCCAATCTTATACATACAAAACAGAAGGTTAATTGGAAATAGGACGTGTACTGAGTACGACAGACAGCACAGGTGGGGAAGCTTGTGGAAACGGCCGGGTATATGGCAGGGAGGAGACTGTCATAGGCCGATGGTTGGCCAGTTCGCACAAAGAAGGTGTGAACAGGGGTCATGAACTTGATCGTTCGCTTGTCATGCGTCTGTGGCATGATGTCCTGACAGCCCGAGCAGCATACGCTGCAGTCTGCACTTAAGGTTAATAATTACAGTGAGTTCAGTCTGCGCTTAATGATAGCCGTATGACAGGGTTATAAAACTCCATACTTCCAGGTCCAATCGATTATCTTTTGCTCATAAAGGGGTTTTGTTCATCAGGTCGAAAAGGAGTAAACAATAACGGTTACTTACTGGATTTCAAGTAGTATAAATATATGTAAGTTGGTACACGGCTTATGTGAGTTGATGTGAGGCTGGTAATTGCGAAGCTTGATAGGCGTCAAGTCCACGCTGGCAAAAATTCACACGGGAGGAGGTTGCAACATCGGTAGGTAGGGCATTCCACGCTGCAACCACACTGTGACTGAAAAAGACCTTTCGTCCATCAGTCCTTGCTTTCCCTGCGCCTAGTTTTAGGCGATGACCGCGCTGAGTGGGCGTGTTAGCTTGAGTGAAATAATCAGTGGGATCTAAACAAAAGTCCAGGCCGTTGATTTTGTGAAATATTAGTATAAGATCTCCACGTATTTGCCTGTAGGAAAGGGGAAACAGGTTGAGAGTTGACAGTCTGGTTTCATAGGGCAGTGTTCTCAGACCTTGTGTCCTTTTGGTCGCTCGTCTCTGAACCTTCTCCAAAACGGTATAATCCTTGGCAGTCCAAGATCTCCACGCCTGTATGACGTATTCTCGATGAGGCCGCACGTAGGTGCCAAATATTTTGGAAAAGCAGTCTGTGTCAAATCTCAAAATTCTCGCTTGATGTGTTGCAGTGTTGCCATAGCTGACTTAGCGGCCTTCTCGCAGTGGCGTGTTGATTTGAGTGAAGGTGTAATCCATACACCCAAGTCCTTCTGACTGTCAACCTGTTACAGTGGTGTGCTGCGTAGAAGGTAAGTCCTGGGGCTGGAGACTCTGAAGATGCCTAGTTGAAGAAAGTTGCACTTGCTTATATTGAAGGCCATAAGCCGGCGCTTCGACCAGTCTTCGAGACTGTTCAAGTTTGCTTGCAGTTGGTCTGCGTCTGCCACATTGTAAATAACTTTCCACAATTTTATGTCGTCGGCAAACAGGATGGTATCAAAGTTTAGGTCCTTGACGCAGTCATTTATGAAAACGAGAAATGACGTGGGACCTGAGACTGAGCCCTGTGAAACGCCAGTCACCACGCTTACCTCCGAGGATTGTTGATGCCCGACCCGCACTGTTTGGGACCGTCCAGCCAAAAAGCCCTGGATTTATACAAGAAGGCGTCCACGAATTCCAGCATTGCGCAGTTTGTGCAAGAGACTTTGGTGGGCAACGCTGTCGAAGGCCTTTTTGAAGTCGTTGTAGAAGGCGTTCTTTGATCCAGTGTTCGAGCATAAATAGCAAATTCGTGAGACAGGACCTACCACTTCGAAAGCCGTGTTGTGCATCAGACAGGAGGTGGTGCTGCTCGAGGAACTTCATCAAGTTCTTCTTAATGATCTCCTCCATGATTTTGCAACAGGTGGAGGTAAGACTCAATGGCCTGTATTTATTCGCAGACGCACGACTTCCACCCTTAAAAGTGTCTTTCTTCCTGAACCTGACCATTCGACCGTGTTGGCTCTTCCCTTCAGCCTTCTGCTAGGTAAAACGTCTGTCACAAACGGAGCCCCACATCGATAAGAGTTTTTTGCCTATTTTCGTTTGCAAGATGCATGGCTTACGTACAGCACTCATCTACCGTTCAAGAGTGTCGCAGCCCTTACGAAATTGAGGAATAGAATGATGGCTGATTTCCGTAAAACCCTGATGATCGCAGTTGTCTGTTTCTGTTTTAAGAAAATTGCTTCTCGAAAACGCGATCGACATCTGCGAATATTGAAGCACTTTTATAGGTTATGCTGGGGGTTAGCTGTTTAATCTGTCTTCGAAGACCAGAATACGGAAATATCCGTACGCTCAGTTATTCTATTCAGCGTTTTTAATTTTTACGACCACTACTAATACCGCTGGAAATATCATTGCTTATGCTACCACTACTAGCACCACAAGGCCAAGATTCATTTATAACATTCCCGAGTCGATTGCGCCAAAAGGAACTTCTCAAAAGTGGGTAAGCCAGATATTTTTCAGTAATCCTTAACCATGTGCCTGCAGACGACCAGCCCATGTCGGCCAATATACAAGACAGATCGCCGTATTAGGTTCACCACAAGGGTTTCAAATCTTCATACGGGCACTTTTTGACGACGAATGTATGCTCACTGAACGTCTTGCAAAATATGACAAAGGGCCAAACCAGGAAAGATTTCTGCGGCTCGTTGCAGGTATTCTGCGTTGCAGACGCTGGGGATGCTTATATTTATGGCGTTTGCAACAGTGATAGCGTTTCCACAGAAACGTAGCTACAATGTTTAAAAGAATTTTTAAAAGAATGCTTCTTGTTTTTTTTGTTATCACGTAAAAGAATAAAGGTCGCTGATTATTTGCTTATATACTGTTGGACGTTGAGTTAAAAAGAAGTTCAAATGCTACTGTGGAATTTTCGTCCACGCTCCTATAGTGAAGTAATGCCGACTTGCATTGAAATCGTCTAAACATATTCTGAGTGCTTCCCAAGGACAGATGGCTAAGAAAGACACATTGAAATTTGGCGATATTCCCTATGCCATCCCTCCTAAACCCTTTCCGACATCGCTCTGAACATCTAACTCAATGTATATTAGACTGCATTTTCATGCATGAATCTGCGCCCATGTAAATAAAAACGTTATTAAGGTCGTATTTCGAAAATGATGTTTCAGCCTGACCGTCAGTCCCGAGAAGGATCCATTGACCCCCACTTCCCCAATTGACAGGGTTTAAAACAACATGTATGTTCGTCATAAGGATTTTGATCTTTTTTAGTGATTGATGACCAGTGATCCACAAATTTCCACCCTAACCTGGTGATGTGAATCATCAAAGATGCGGATCCTTAAAATGAAGTAGATGATAGATGCACCGGCGAGACCACTTTTGGCTAACGACCTCGGAGATTCTGTCGTGCCTGGGACACCGCAATGAAGCATATCGCAGAACACTACCTTATCAGTCACCCAACATTCTGTGCCTGCAATACCACTTCGGATTGTCACATACAGCTACATTAATCCTTCGATCGAACTGAGAATAACGAGCTTACTGTCCGATATAAGGCCATTCCTGATCTACGCATGTAAACAAAAGATGTCACATACAAAAAGCTCAAGGAGAAGTGGAAGAGACGA